CCCCCCCCCCCCCCCCCGCCCTTCTTTAAAGTTTTTGTTCTGGGGGAGGGGGGGGGGGGGAAATAAGTTCATAAGTTTCCAAAAAGTGAGACGTTTTCTTGACGTGCTGCCCGTCTGAATTTTCCGTCGCGGTCCTGCCTGGCAGGGGGAGGGACAGGAAGCATTGCTCTCGCAGGCACAGACCCGCTCGTTCCCTCCGTCTCCCTCCCGGCAGGGCTGGGCCAGGGGTTTCACCGCAGGCGACGCGGCTCCGGCGGAGTTTTGAGCTCTTCCCTCTGCCGCAACCTGCAGCCCCTCTCCCAGGGATGGCGACCCCAGGGCAGGGCCAGGTCAGCTCGGGGGAAGGAAGGTCTTCCTTGCCGGAGGTGATGTTCAGTTCAGAGCCGGGTTTCTGCCCGTGTTCCCAGTGCTCTCGGCTTTCCGGGGTCTCCAAGGCTTGAGCAGATCCTCTCTCCGGTGTGCCAGGAGGTGGGCACGCCTGGGAGCCCGCGAGCAGGTTGCATGGGTGCGGTGTAGGTTGGATCAAGGTCTTGCACGCTTGGCCTTGAGCATCTGCACTTGCTCTGGGATTGCAGCAGAACTCCGGGCGAGGACTGGACGGTCCCCTCCGGGCTCCGAGAGCTGCTCCTGGTGTTGCAGTGCGGTACCACTTGGGACAGAGATGTGACAGTGTCCCTGCCGTGGCTCCGAGGCGGTGAGAGCAGATGGAGCTTTCCCCCCATGGAGCCAGGAGTGGAGCCGGTGCCGTGAAGAGCAGCCGTGACATGACTTGGTCACCAAGGGAGGAGCACTGGGGTCTTTACGGCGATGGCCCGCACACCGGGCAGGTCCAAGAGCCATAGATAGGGTCTGTTTTCCCCCCTTTGACTAATGACAGTGCTTTTTCCTTTGTTTCATGTCGTGTTTGTCCCTCTCCCCTTAAACTCTGGTGTCTCCTGTCTTGTCTCCCCTGAACATCCCTCCCACCTGGTGACCAGAGGAAGCTGCGCTGGGATATGTGAGGAGACAAACGCTAACGGCAGTGTTTTGGTTGTGACACTAACGCCGGGGAATGGGGGCGAGGGCTGCGCAGAGTGAGCCGCGTTACTAACCCGGGCAGACAGCTCACGGGGTCCTGCTTTGCTGGGGCTGTGCAGGGGAAAACCAGAGTGGTGGGGACAGAAGAGACCATCTTCATCCCGATCCCAAAAATGGGACCTGCCGCAGAAAGCGCCACGGGGACCCCCACAGCGCTGAGCAGCTTCCCTGGGCTGTCAGGGACAGGGGCTCCGGCGGGGTTGCATCCAGACCTCCCTGTCCCCGCACCAGCCCTTGCGCGGGTGTCGCGGGAAGGTGCAGAAAGCTCAGTGACAAAACGCCGACAGCGTTTCCCCGGGGGCTGTTGACAGCTCGGGGTGCAGGGGAGGTGTTCCCAGGCGCTCGGGGCTGCTCTCGGGGGTAGGAGAGCTCGCTGGCGCCTGGGGCAGGGAGCAGGAGCTGGGTCACACCACATCTCACCTGCAGCACCGCAGAGCCCAGGGCGGGAGAGGGGCCGCCCGTCCCCTTGGCATGGCGGGATGCTGCGATGTGGAGCTGGCAGTGACGGAGGGGAGAGGCGCCCATGGCGAGCTCAACCCCGTGCCCCTGGGTGGCCCGAGGTGGGTGGGAGACAACCCCGTGGGCTACAACCCCGATGGCTCCTCTGGTTTGCGGTGGGGGGGGGCAGTTTTTCACCTTAGCAAACCCATCTGGGGCCATGAGTTGGTGTGTGGCTCAGTGTTGGGGGGCTGCTCTCTGTCCCCCCTACCCCCCAAGAAGCAGGCAAGCAGGCAGCCCCCGCGCAGGCACCGGCGACCGCCGAAGGCAGGGCTCAGGTCCTCACCTCCCGTGTGGGTCTGCATCCCTGGGGCCGGGAGGGGTTTAGGCAGGGCTGGATGGTAGCTGTGCCCCCAGAATCAGACCAGGTCTGGCAGGAGGAAGGAGGAGGGGGGAGACTGCGGGGGCAGAGCTGCTGGGTGCTGCCAGCAGCACAGCCCTGGCGTGGGAGCATCTCCGGAGGCAGCTAACCCGAGTTGCGGTGACTAACAAGAGTGAGCTCGCTTCACTGACGGCAGGTCGGGGACCTTGAGGGCTGCTTGTCCCAAACTGGCGGTGGGATCTGCGGGCAGCGGCTTGGCCCCAACCCAGCCGGGCTCTGCCGGCAGCGGGCAAGCCTGCCACGGGAGGACGACCCGTCCCACACGTTCTGCACAGCCACGAGCTGTCTCGGCTCTCAGGAGCGTTCCCTGCCTAGGGGGTCTTTGCTGCTACGCAGGACCGGAGCTGGCAAAAGCAAGAAGGAGCCCTTAAGTACCCACAGGCCTTGGGAATGTCTCGTTTGGTGTTGGTCGGCCAAGACCAGGAGATGGCTATGTGGATGGAGGCTTCAAGTCACCTAGCTCTGCCCTCCTCCATTCCTACCCAGTCATCTTCTCTGTCTTCTTCTCCGCTTGTGTGCCTCTCTGTGTGTGTGCGCATTTAATCCAGGTTTCCGCTTGATTTGAAATCTTAATTACCTGGTGCTTTTGTTTGTTTGCTCTCTTCTCCTCTTCCCCAACATCTCTCTGACCGGGATGCAGCCGCTGGCACGTGTGTGATCTGACGTGTGGCTTTCAGACCCCAGCCCTCCTCCCAGACAAAGTCTCTTGTCCGTCCTGCCCAGCCTTGTGGAAGCCAAATAGACGTGACCTTCATCTCATTACTGCCGCTCTCAAAGAGAGAGGTGACTAATGGGGCTCCATTGTGCGCTTCCCCATGAATGGTGTTCCCTTGATCCCAGAATAGCTCCCAACCCTATTAGTTATGTGGAGATGAGTCACACAAAGCCAGTCCTGTCCGGCCGTAAAGTCTCGAAGCTGTTCTCAATTTGGTGTCGATCTGACGATCCTTGAACGGGGCAGGCGCTCTCTGAAATGGTCTCGTTGTAGCCTGGCTCCGCATTGAACCGCGTGCCAGTGCTGCAGGCCTGGCCGCTTGTCCCTGTTCCTGGTGACATCTGGCACTTGTAGGACAGAGACAACCACAACAGCTCCTCCTAACCTCATGAGTTCAGGATCCACCACCAGATAAGACTCCCGAGCAGGAGAAGGGTTTGATTTTGTTTTCCACTTTCTTCCCAACGAGAGGAAACCAAGATGGGCCAGCCACAGGTCAGCTGCCCTGCAGGAAGGGCAGATCCTTGGACTGAGAGATCCCCCTGGCTCCACCGACCACCCACTGTCTGTCCCGTTTGTGGGAGCAGGTCCCTTTGCCATCACAGGAGCCCGGGCAGGGCTCAGCTGGGTGGCCTTGGCGTGCATTTGCAGTGTGAGATGACATCTGGGAGGATGGCTCTGGCCGTGTGCTCTGCACCAGCCCTCGGGCAGCCTTGCCCGGAGACCTTCTAACCGTGTGTTTGGTTTTCAGGGCCGCCTTGGCCTCTGCCCACCAGTGCCACCCCCTTCCTCAGACCCTCAGTGTGCTGAAGAGCACCCCTCAGGTGAGGGGCATGCACACCATCATCAGGTAAAGCCCCCGCCACCGCGGCCTCCCAGGGTGGGATGGGGCTTGGCTGCCGGCTGGGGTGGGCTCGCCTTGCTTTGGACTCCCAAATCCCACTTTTGCCCTCACGACTTGGGGACGTGGGACAGGATAGACGGTGGTGGGCCCTGGGTACAGGAGCTGTGCTGTGGGTGCTCCATGGTCTTGCCAACAGTTTTTCTGCCTTTTACCTTAAAACTGCCACCGCAATTGCAGGCTCAGCCGGTAGACCCCGTGCAAACAAAACGCGGAGAGCCAGACGGGGGCAGGGGCTGTCCCTCCTCCACGCAGCCTCTGACCTCTCTCAGCATCTCCCGGGGCATGTTTTGGTCCACAGCTTACGTTGCCTTTCCCTTCCCTCTAGAAACAAGGAGACGAGCAGAGATGAGTTCATTTTCTACTCCAAGAGGCTGATGCGGTTGCTGATTGAGCACGCGCTCTCCTTGCTCCCGTTCCAGGTGGGTTCGGGGCTGTAGACGGGAGGGTGGGCAGCGGGCGCTGTGTTTCCTCTCCGATTCCCGAGCCGTACCTGCCAGGGAGCCGGGACAGTCCTGGCGCTGCTCCTCCCACCTTCCCCATGTGTCAACCCCTTCCTTCTAGGTGAAAAAAGGGCAGGAGTCCCCTGGGCTGTGGAGCGATGGCACGGCCTTGGGTGACAACTCTTTGTCCTGTCTTGGTTTCTAAGGGACCGGACCAGCCCACAGCTGGCTGGCTCCCCGGTGCCGGGGCTCCTCTGAGAGCCACGTCAGAGCCCCTGGTAACGCTTCTCGCCTGGTTTTTGTAGAGTTGCACAGTCCAGACCCCGCAGGGACAGGACTACGAAGGGAGGACATACAGCGGAAAGCAAGTAAGTGGAAACAAAAGGCACTTTTCAACTCTGGCCCGTGGGGCACCACTGAAAGCCCTGTGGATGCAGGGGAAGGACACCCCTGGCTTCTCAGGGCTTCCATCAGGCCCAGGTTTGGTGCCTGCTGCCAGGAGTACCGTACCCTGTGTCATCCATACAGGCGGCAGGTCGGTGGGTGGCCAGGGGTGCCGTCAGCAATGTCACTGTGCCACTGTTGCCCTCCCGTTGAGGAGCAGCACAACCTTCACCTGGAAGGGATGTGCTTTGAGGTTGCCCGTTGGAGTCCCTAGTTGTTGAGTCCCGATACCATACTGGGGTGGCGCGCACCTCCGGCACCGTGCCTTCCCGTTCAGCCTGGCTCTGTGCTGCAGATCACCGGGGTGTCTATCCTGCGGGCGGGCGAGACCATGGAGCCGGCGCTGCGAGCGGTATGCAAGGACGTCCGCATCGGGACCATCCTCATCCAGACCAACTGCAACACGGGCGAGCCGGAGGTAAAACGCGGGGTCCCGAGCTGCCGAGGGCACCTCCTGGCATTAGCCTGCGCGCAGGGGGTGACTCGGGTATCGCCTGAGAGCTCTTCAGCGATCCGAGAGTTGGATCTTGGCTGGGGGCGAGCGCTCGGAAAGCGAGAGCTTTGAAAGCTTCTGAAGTGGGCTTTGCCAGCATGGTTGTGCACGCAGGGGCTGGTTTGCTGTCCAAGTGCTTGCAGCAGCGCCTGGCTCCAAGCTGAGGTCCCAGACATAGAGATGCCTGAAAGATCCTTCAGCCCTCTAAGAGAAGGGCTCGCGTTGCTCCGTTCGCCCTGAGCCTGCAGCCTCTAAGCTGTCCTCTCTTCCTTCCCCCTGCCCAGCTCCACTACCTGCGGCTGCCGAAGGACATCAGCGAAGACCACGTCATCCTGATGGACTGCACGGTCTCCACGGGCGCAGCAGCCATGATGGCAGTGCGGGTGCTGCTGGTATGGAGGATGTCGGGCATGCTGCAGGGGGCGGGTGGTTCACCCCCAGAAAAACGTGCAAAGCACCAGCCGCAGCCGTGCTGAGGGGCTTTGGGCTGAAACCGTCTCCTCCTTGTGACGGAGGATGTCGTGGGAGCCAGCACGAGGTGGGGTGACTCTGTAACCAGGCGTTGACAAAGTCACTCCTTCCTCGGGTAGTACCCGCCTGGATTTAGTTGGTTTCTTGGTGCTGTGCCCAGTAACCCCAGCTGGTCACAGAGGGGAGGAGAGAAGGTGGCTCCAGGGAGGCCCTTGAGTGCTGAGAGCGCTGCTCCCTGGAGGCATGGGCCATGACGTGCCTTAGATACCCATACGCCTGCTCCTCAGCCCATGCATCTTCAAGCCATCTCTGTGCCTTTCCTGTAGGATCATGATGTCCCAGAAGACAAGATCTTCCTCCTCTCCCTGCTTATGGCGGAGATGGGTGTCCACTCAGTCGCCTATGCTTTCCCCCGGGTGAAGATCATCACCACAGCTGTGGACAAGAAGGTGAATGACCTTTTCCGGATAATCCCCGGCATCGGTGAGTATCTGGGTCGGAATGAGCTGTTGCAGGGGAATTTTCGGTGCTTCTGGCCCACTCACCAGAGGAGGTGAAGCCCTGGTTGTCAGCAGCAGCTTAGGTCTGGCCTTATTTTACCCGGGCACCCGCTGCCTCTCCTGGGTCCCGCTGCCACGTGGGTGTTGGGATCAACGTGCACGCTCTGGGAGCTGTCAGGCAGCCACAACTTTGTTGGCAGAAGGAGCCATTCCACGTGCCGTGAGCCTCCTCCGGCCCCAGGTGGAGATGCTGGGCTGGGACAGCTGGAGCAGACCTGTGCCCACCTCATTCCCGAAGCTGTCACCATAAACAAGCTCATCCAAAACAAGCTCACTCTGTTCTTCTGTCCTCACCTCTGCTGTGCCAGGAAACACCCCTGCCACCGGGTGCTAAAACAGCCTCCAGGCTGCTCCAGTTTTGCTGCTACATGAATTTTAGAGCTCTTCAGGCTGTTGGATAAACCTGCTTTTGTTTCCTTGCGGGCTGGGACGAGGGCAGGCTGGAGGATGCTCCCTTCAGAGCTGCACCGCCACTGCGTCTCTCTCTTTCTCCCCACAGGGAACTTCGGTGATCGGTACTTTGGGACGGACGCTCCTCCCGACTGGAGCGACGATGAAGATGCTCTTAGCACTTAGCTGGATGTGGAGGTGCCACTGGCGCCAGGCAGCTTCAGCACCGCACCTTAACCCCTTCTGTCCATCGCAGAGATTTCTCCTTCCTCCTCACCAAGCATAGATATTTTTTTCAAATCGTACATTGGAGATCTAGGGCATATTTTTTCAAAGAAACATAAATCCTAGTTTGACTTTGTGGACAGTCACGTGTCCCAGCATAGAGTGGAGTTAATTTATTTTAATTTAAATATTTGCCTATATAACTTATTGGAGATATTTTATAAAGAAAAATAATAAATTTTTTTCTCTGGTTTTCTTGAATGGAGCTGTTCTTTGTTACACCCCAAGGGCGCCCAGAAGAATTTGCAACCCTTCGGGACTGCTGCCCTGGGAGGGGAGATGCCGCGGGTGGCGGTGGGAGGTCGAGAGCCTGCTGTGGAGGAGCAGGCTGACCCTGCGGCCGTGGAGCAGTTCTTAGGGCACGCTCTGTGTGCTGGTTGTTGTTTCTGTTTGGTGAACACTGAAGCTCTTACACCCCTGGGAGAGCCTGCCCGACGGGATGCGTTCGCTCTGTCTGGTGCTGCTGGGAATTGGTGGGGACAGAGAGCACCCGGTGGCCTCTCTGCAAGGATAAGGCAACCCCACTCAGCCCAAGGGTTCCTGCCTGCAGCAGGGCTGCGAGCGGAAAAACCCACCACCTCAATTCCCCAGCCCCCTCCTCTTGCTGCCTTGCACCTGGGAGGAACTACCACGCTCTAGAGCCCAGTGGAGGGTTGGTACCAGAGGAGATGCAGTTCTTCACGTCTGCACGGAAGCTGAAGTTCAGCTCCGATCACATCACGCTTCAGCTTGAGAAGCAGCAAGCCCCTGTTTCAGTTCAGCAGCCAAAGCGAAACACAGCTTGCCTGAACGCCGCCGGCTTGCTCTTGCTGAATCAGAGCCGCTCAAGACGTGGTGAGGAGCAGGTCTCGTAACGGTCTCCAGGAAGCTGTTAGCAGGCCAGAGTAACCTCAGCGGAAGAGGAGCCGGCCAGCCCCACGAGGTGGATTTAGTCAGAGGAGGCTGTGACCCCTGTGGCTGAACACAGAATATTTTCCTTTCCTGCGTGATTCGAAGTACCAATGCAACATCCTTGTGCTGGAGCTAAATGGGCCAAGAGGAGCAAACCCACCCCTTGGCTGGGCGTCCCTGGCTTGGAGCCGGCTCCTGAGGGGTCAGGCAAGGCAGGCAGGCGCTGCCGGCCATGAGGAGAGCGGGGCCGGGAGGGGGATGTTCTGCCAGGCCCCTTGCCGAAATGGAGAGTTGCCTGGTGATAACTCAGTGTGGGCTCAGGTGCGATGAGCCCAAAATAACTGCCACCGCTCTGCGACATGTTGTATAAATTCTCAACTAAATTTAAAAGAAAACACACGCCCGAGTTCCTGCAAGCGCTCGGCGAAAGCATGAGCCCTCGGCTTGAAAGCCACGTTCAGAGCCAGCACTGACACTTGATTAGTGTCTGCTAAAAATAGCTCCTTGCGTAGGTGGAAGGAGAGCTCATAAGCACAAACACAGGAGGATAGGCAGACACAGGGTTTTTTGGCTGGGGCACCAGGTGAGCAGCGGTGGGACAAGGGACAGCAGCATTGCCAGGTCCACGGAGAAGTATGTCTGCACCCGGAGTCCTTCCTTTGGGCTGCAGCCACCGGCGCAGGAGCTCAGTGCTGGAGGAACCCGGTATCTTCTTTCTAGACCATGCTGAACCCCATGAATGAACACCACTATCGTCCCTCATGCATAAAGCTCCAGCAGACCTTGTTTGAGCAGTGCGTTGGCCTCCATGAGGACGACGGATTCATGTGTGGATCTTGAGCAGGGTTTGCCCCCAGGATCCACCACGGGGGTGAAGATCACACAACACTTCTTTGGGGAGAGGGGGGGAAGGATCAAAATACCTCTTCTCCCCCAGCATCCTTCATCCCAATCCACACACCCATACTCCTTGAAACATGATGGATGCAGCCTCTCTGTGCCCCTGATACCACCTCTTGACCAGTAACATGTAGGAAGTGGCCCAGTGAGGTGTGTGGATGGAGAACTGGACACAACGGGGCTGTGATCCGTCATGTAGAACATCAAAGGGTGTTCTGCACCCATGGTCCATCCCATTGTCCCTGACAAGCCTGTGATGGGTGTAGGCAGCAGCATTAGGATACTTAGCCATAGGAGGGGAAGACAAAAATTGGGGTGTGATGGGTGTGGGGAGGAGGAGATATCACCAGAGCCTCAGAGCGCCACATCTTGTTTTGCAGCACTTCCAGGCTGCTGAATGCCACCCACGCACCCAGGCAGTCCCCAGCACCCATGGCCGGTGGCTGGCACACCCATGATGACACAGTGGAGTGTGGCATGGTTCCCCTTGCCATCGTGGTTAAGATCCAGGGGTCCCACACCCTGTCCCATGGGCATGGCCACAGGGACCACACAGCCCAAAGGTCTCTGGGACCTTCCTCCACACTGGGAGCACTTAAGGTTTGCCCAGTGTGCAGGAAGGTCCTGGAGACCTTTGCATCCAGAGTGATTCTTGCTTTTAACCCAGTACATCCGTAATTTTCCTCAGAACACCTACATTTTTCCTCAGCAGATCCATGTTCTTCCTCAGATCCACATTTTTCCTCAGCAGATCTGCATCTTCCCCCAGTAGATCCCTATTTTGCCTCAGAAGACCCGCACTTTCCCTCAGCAGGTTCACATTTTTCCTCAGATCTGCTCTTTACCTCAGTAGATGCGCCTTTTCCCTCAGCAAGATCCACATTTTCCCTCAGTACATCCACATTTCACCCCGGCAAACCCGTGTTTTGCCACCACACAGCC